CCCCAAAACCCCAAAACCCCATGGCTAAAGATATTACAAATTTAAATAAATTGAATATTGATAATTATAGAGACTAGGTTCATATTATAGTTTATATAAAATAGTAACTGTTGTAATTAAGAGGGGCATAAGTTACAGTTTATTATTGACTAGGTTGGGTAAACTAGTCTCTAAGATTGTCCTAGGAGAGTAACCTCCACTTTGAATCTTTAAAACACACTAGTCAATAGTAACCACACAGCACTATAAAAGGCTGTGCTTCAGATTTGAAAATAAAAACTTAGTAAATAATTAGAATCTTAGTAAAAATACAGAATGCAAACAACAACCAAGAAATTATTAGCTTCAGTTGCCGTAGTCGGCACTATTGCTGCGGTAGCTCTTTTCAATACATCTGGAGAGTCAGCTAGTCAAGGAACATTCCTTGCCGAAAGTTCAAACTCAGAACAAAAAGCTGTCACTGCATTCAATGACTTCATTAATAAGCACTCTAAAAACTATTTGACAAAGGAGGAGTACAGAGCTCGTCTTAATATCTTTTAGACAAATTACAATATTATCCTTAAGAACAATGAAGTTAATAAAGACTACAAACTAGACACCAATCAGTTCGCTGATCTTTCTGATGAAGAATTCTAAAAGAGACTCGGATTTAGAGCTAGCCAGTTTGATGATGATGAAGACGATGAACTCTTCAGAGGAGAGGAACAACAAAATGTCGAAAATTTGAAAGCAGATCCTATGCCATAGTCTATTGATTGGAGAACCTAGGGAGCAGTTAGTGCCATTAAGAACCAAGGCTCTTGCGGAGGATGCTATGCTTTCTCCTCTGCTGATGCTATGGAAGGTGCTTATGCTTTGAAAAACGGTTAACTCTAAGTATTCTCACCTTAGTAAATAATTGATTGCTCTACTGGATATGGCAACGCAGGTTGTGGTGGAGGTCTTATGACAAATAGTTTCAACTATCTCAAAACAGCAAAGATTATGACTATGTCATCCTATCCATATGTTGGAAATCAACAATAATGCAGATATAGCTCTTCCAAAGGAGTAGTCGGAGTAACTAGCTTTGTCAGTGTTACCAAGAATAGCCCCAGTGCTTTAAAGTAGGCTATACAAGTTCAACCAGTATCTATCGCTGTTGCTGCTGCCGGTAGTACTTTCAGACTTTACAAGAGTGGAATTATCACTTCATCTGCTTGCGGAACAAGTCTAGATCATGCTGTCCTCTTAGTTGGCTATGGCTCATAAAATGGCCAAAGCTACTGGATCGTTAAGAACTCATGGGGAACCACCTGGGGTGAGTCAGGATACGTCAGAATCTTAGACGATGGTAAAAACGGAGCTGGTATCTGTGGCATGCTCCAAATGAGCTCATACCCTAAGATCTGAAATGGCAGTCAAGACTCAATCTCTCATTCCAGTGATTGATTGACTGATCTCTTTATATTTCTGGTTTAAATCGGGAGTGTAAGAGGTAAGGTTCACTTAGAAAATTATAATCAATTAACTTTAATTTCAAATTAGAAATTTATCTGCATTCAAATTTTCTATTCTAATAATTCTATTATTATTAATCTATTTCAAATTTAACTGAATATTCATATTTTGAGGGGTTTTGGGGTTTTGGGGAGATCGGAAGAGCACACGTCTGAA